CCCTGGGAATGCCTGGCTTAGCTGCACCAGGCCACTGTGACAACAGGATTCAGGGATGCGGGATCTGAGTAAACTTCTGTTTCTTTCTTTTTTAAAAAAAATTATTTTATTTATGCATACAAGAACTGGGGGACAGGCCAGAGGTGTGGGGGGTGAGAGGATTCACTAGAGACAGAGTAGGGAACAGAACAGACAGATTGACTGAAATACACTGCTGAGGGGAGTAAGGGGTGAGATAGGAGAGGTCTACAGTGCCATGTGTGTCACCTCCCTGGCTGGGGATCGAACTCGTGCCACAGTGGCTGCGGATAGCTTCACAGTCTGAGACTTAGCCCCTTGCGCCACTGGGAAAGCCCGTAAACTTCTGTTTCATTACAAGATACGTCCAAGAAGGCTCACCCCTTTTTCCCCTTGGAGCTCTATCCTCTTGGCTCCGGACTCTCCCAGCACTCTACCAGCTCAGCTTTAGAATCCTCCTCTGATTCCTCTTCCTCTAACCCCTCTCTGAATAGTTAACATCCTGGAGGGTTTGCCAAACATCTCACTGCACTTTCTGTGGGAATGGTTTCATCCTCTTCCCCCCATTTGACTCCTAAGTACTGTACCTATAGACATATCCAGACCTGCATGTCAAGCTACATGCACCACACCCAGTCCCAAATGGAATCCATTTACTCTCTCTCTCAACCTACTTTTTAAAAATTGTGGATCCTTGATTAATTTTGAAATCTGTGAGTCACTTTTGATCTTCTCTTATACCCCCAAGTGCAGTTACAAAGTCTTGATGATCACTTTCCCAAGACTTTCTTTTCCCATTCCCACTGCCTCTACTTGGTTCAGACCCTGATTTTCTGTAGCAAGGTGTGCTACAGTAGCCTCCTGAATGGCCTCCATACCTCTAGTGTCTGGTACCCATCCATTACCAGCCCCCACTTCAGAATGTACTCTATGCTTTGCTACCAAAGTAATCACTCTACCACAAAATTGAGCGAACCTACCCTCAGCTCAGAAGCCTTTAATGATGTCCTGTTGTTATCAGAACAGAGTTCAAGCTTCTTAGTTGGGCATTGAAAGCCTTCATGATCTGCCCTCAATCTGTCTTTTTGCTCTATTTCCTGCCTTTGCTTCCTATTAGAATCAAAGTACCGTAATGCAGAGCAGAGACCTTGTCTGTCTTGTTCATTTATGTATATCTGGTGCCTAGAACAGCTCCTGGCACATATAGGTAGCTAGTCACTATTCGTTGAATGAAAGCTCTACTTTTCCCAGAGAAGTGCCTAGAAATGGCATATACTTTGGGATCTCTAGGTCTTTGCTCATGTTCTATTTGCTTCAAATTCCCTTCCTCATGCATGTTTTTCTTACTTTTGAAGATGTAGCATAAATATTATGTTTATAACACTGACAAAATCTGCCGCCATGCTCAGTATTGCTTGTCTCTGTTTCCCCATAGCCTATTTCTATATAATGAATGAATACTCACACTTGAATATAAGTTCTCCAAGCAATAACCCTCTCTCCCCCAAATGCTACCCCACACTCCAATTATTAAAGACATTTATACACAGGTGTTTGCAGCATGTTAGCTTAAAATAAATTCAGGTTGGTAGAGTTTTATTGCAAAGTCAAATTAAAAAAAATTAATTCCATGCCATTATAGCACTGAGATCATTGTTTACTTGCTGGCATTCATCTGGGGGCCATCAGCATTTAGAGGCCTCTCCCTGGTCTTTGCACACCATTCCCTGTTGCTCAGAAGCAACAATGGAACCTGGAATTCCTCACGCTTCCATCTCTCTGAGCATTCTTCTACCATCATATGCTGCTCTCACTGCAGCAGGGAGAGGGTCCCACCTTTTAGGATTTTTGTGATTCAATTGGGGCCACCCAGCAAATCCAGAATAATCTCTGTACTTTAAGGTCCATAACTTAAATACATGTACAAAATTCCATTTCCTGTGTAACAGATTCCAGGGATTATTACATGAACATCTTTGGTGTGACATCATTCTGCTTAGCACACAACAGAAGGTGAGAGATGATATGTGAGAGAAAACATAAAGCACTGGACTTGTTGGCTAACAAATTTATTAGCGTTTGGGTGAGTTATGGCTCTGAATTGTGAAAAACAAGGAAAGAAGAATGTGGTATCCTGCGATGAGCCCACATGGGGCCTCTGGAGGGTATTGTGATGTGAGTCCATTAAAGGTTTCACATAGTTACATTTGAGATTACAGCAGGTGGCAATGTCCTGCTGACTGTTAGAAGGTGGTATTTGTCCCTGTATCCTGTGGTACTGATTGCATTAAATTGAATGCTGTATTTTTTCTAGTATTAATCTGTGTGTCGAAGTTATATTTAACTGAGAAGTAAAAGAGATACGGGAAAGGGAGAAAAGATGAATTCTTGCTTAAGGGGCTATCTGCTCCCTTAGAAGGGTCAATGCCATGTAATCGAGGTTTCTTGTGGAAAGATAATCCATTTTGAACCAAGGAAATCAGTATTGGGCCAGCACAGCTTTGAAATTTGATATTCAGAAACAAAGGATCCAGTAGTCTAGTTGAGTTTACCTTTAAAATATATGGTAACCTTGTGAGGTTATGGATGTGTTAACTGTTTGTAGTATTATTTCACTATATGTATAGATAGATATATGTAGATATATACATATATATATAAACATCAGGTCGTACATCTTAAATATATTCAAATTTTATAGTCACTTGTACTTCAGTAAAACTAGGCGTGGGGAAAGAATATTAAATAAGTAACACTTCTTATCATATAATTTCTTGCTTTAAATCATATAGTGATTCCTCTTTTCCAACTGGGAGGATCAAAGTCAGAGGATTTTAGTGTAATTTTCAGTGTCATTTATGTCTTGGTCACCTCTGTAGTACATGTCACACCACAATTATGTAGAACTGCTTGTAGATTCCTGTATACCTCATACAGTTTTTGACTTCCAGTATTTTTATTTCCTCTGTCTGTAATGTCTTTATCTATTCAATTGTAAAGCCCCTAAATAGTATTTTAAAACACAGTGAAGGTACCACCAATGAAGCCATCCATGACTATCTCTCCCAGCTAAATCTGGTATTGATTTTTCTGTTCTGAATTACTATAGTACCTGGTGCCCATCTTTATCTCAGTGCTTATTATAGTATAAAATAACTGTTTACATCCTCGAGAAGAAGGATCTTCTTTATCTGCAGTTCTGCAATGTGTGAAAGACTCCTGGCCCATCTATGCATGCACTAAATGTTGGATAAGTGAATTAGTAATGTAATGAATGCTTTCAGGGAAATTTCATTTGCACTTAAGTGAAGTGCATGATAAAGGGTAATTATTGACCTGGGGAAAAGAGGAATAACGAAGGCCATGACTAATGGTCAAACTAGATGACCCAAGGAAACAAGTTAGGCCATTGTGATGACTCAGAGCAATAGCAATGTCAGACAGATTTGAGTATATATTGACCGATTCAGATGTCTCAAGGCATTTCTTGGTTGTGAATTCTTTTCTTTGAATCCATTTCATGTGGGCTCAAACAACTTTACCTAAACAGCCCCACAATATGGCACAATGTAAGGACAGTATTCTGCTTCCATTGGGGTTGGATTCTGTTGAGCAGTAATCAAAGGTGATCCCAGCTGATGATAACAACTCTGGATGTCAAGGGCATAATGTAACACTGAGTGCCTGAACATTAAATACCCATCATAGAGCAGTAAGTCAGTTTGCATGTGGCTATTAAAATATGTCTTCTGTTGATTTCATTACATTGACAGGAAGCCTTCTATCCAGGGTATGAAAACAGTATTGCTTGAAAATATGGTATTTAATAAGCAATAAACTAGAATACCAAGGGAACCTGGTTTCAATAAAACTTAGTATGAATAAATCTATATCCCTAATAGGATTCAATGTCAGTTCATTAATGTTATACAGCATAATAATTACTGGTAGGATTTCACATCCATTTTTAACATTACATTACTGTAGCGTGATAAAAGTTATTTTTTTTAACCCAGGAATGATTTTGAATGATGAAACAATAAACTGTATTTGTGACTTTGCAGTTGCATCAAATGAATCATAAAATTACAGCTCTCTAGCTTCCATTGGCACCCTGACCACCTGCTTCTCAGAGGTGGGCAGCTTATCAGGATGACTGAAACAATATGGTCATCTTTATCTTGTTTTGTTTCCTATAAGGCAAGTATTTATTTTTACTTTAGATTCTAAAGATAATACATCATCCTATAGTGCTAAAAACAGCACTATTCACTGTCCTCGATATTGATTGACTTGAATAATTAACTACATTGTGTAGGGATGGTAGCTATTGTCTTTATGCAAGTCTTAAGCCCTTTCCTGAGTTTTTATTTCCCTTTCCCATTTATTAAGAGTGAGATAATGAGATACATACCAGTACTTTAAACTAGAAACAAGCACTTAGCCATCTCAATAGGCATGTTAGATGGACCAATTGCTTAGAGGCTCATTTTTAAATAAAAAGCCAGATAATTATTATTACATACCTTTTGTTACCAAATTCTTAAAAGTTATTTTTCACATTGTGAACCAAAGCTAACAATTAAGAGGGTACCCCTCTCCCAACTAAGGGGCACAAGCCAAGAGCCAGGATGTGGCTGGTCTGGTCCTGTAAAGAAACCGTCCAGGAAAAATGCTCTTTGTGAAAAAGAAGCCTTTTGGAAACTGCTGCCTCCAGACAAATCAGTTACTTCAAGGAATGTCCACTCAGAGATTTGATGTTGCTAAAATTCCTAGTTCCCACAAGATAAGACTCTAAAAAGAGAAGCTAACTTGTAACAACCCTCTTTGTTTTCCTCAATGCATAGAAAACATCAGATAGATACTTTAACAGACCCCTACCCAGATTTTCTTGGTAAAAGTCCTTGAAATGTTTCCTGTTGCAGACTGCATAAAATTCTCATTGGGAAGCTCAAAATTCGGGCAGCTTTCCCAGAGCTAACTGGAGGCCCTTCCCAGGCGTTAGTTCTCAGGCTTGATTCTTTAGTAAACTCAATTTTCGCTTGCCTCGATTTATTTAAGCCAACAGATGGCACCCTACCAGATGGAAGGAGGGGAGACTTCACCTGAACCTACCTGGAGCAGCAAGCACACCCAACTTCGTGGTAGCAGCGACATCCCCTTGAGCCCATTCGGCTCCTCAGAGTTCCACATGTGGTGTCTGGTGAGTGTTCCTGGGCCTCAGCCCATCCGGCTCGGATGATGGTTCTCCAGTTTTCTGAACTGTTGTTTGTCTTGGATTGGACAGGAAATCTGCGAGGGCAGAGAAGGGAATTCCGATCTTTAGTGTGGCAATTTCATCTTATTGTCAAGGACTAGAGGCAGGGTTGTCACTTGGTGGTTGTTATAGGGCATATGCTCTAATTGGCTAAGACAAGCAGGTTTGTTCAGAATTCAGAATCAGTGTATGAGAGCAACCTGAGCTGTCTTCGAAGATGAAGGACGAGCGCTTCCTCTGGCCCGCATGCTCAGTGTTTCTGTGAGAGGAGATACCTCGCTGAGGTGGCTGAGACTTGGTCTTTCAGTATGCAACACTCCTGCAGGGAAAGTGTTTTCACATATCTTTGTGGAAAACATATGGGGAGTGATTTAAGCCCCTACAATTGCTTTAAGCTGTTGTTTGGTAAATCCAGGCATGCGAAAAGCAGAAGCGACCCTTGGTTGACACAGAGGCAAGCTAAGCCATAAGCAACACACTTGAATTCTAAACAGAGGGGAAGTCAATTGAGCAAAACCCAGTTTGATTTGACCATGGGAAATAAAGCTTCAAAACGAGAAAACTGACCATCAACCCCCCTTCACAGTTCACACATACTTATAGAGAAAATATTTGCTCTCCAAATGGGAGGATTTAACTAAGAACGCTTTGCCATTGCTGAAGTAGGGTCCTTCTAACATCCTTAGGCCTGTGTATGTTAGTCCAGCTAAAGGAAACCTGCTCAAAGGTCAAACAAATGAAAAGCTAGTTTCACTTGGAATTTGAAGGCTTCCAAGTGCTTAAATGAATTAAAACTTACTGCCTTATAAGAAGGTGACTCTGTTCTTTCTGAGACTAGGTATGATCTTTCTCACAAACTATCTCTAATGGAAAATTCTCTATCCTAATTTGCTTGCTGCAGCTTCTTCTTCCTTTTTTTTTTTTTTAATAACAAAGGCAGTCCTTTCATTTCTTATGCTCCTTCAACTAAAACTGAATTACAGGCTATTATCAAGAAATTTCCTAATGCCCTTCAAGATCCCTTAGGATCTGTCAAAGAGGATTAAAAAAACCCGTCCTCCAAAAATGCAATGGTCTTGGACGTTATTACTGCAGGTAGGTGCCCATGCCATTATCCAAGCAAAATGTTTTATGTTAAAACTTAATGAATTTGATAATATATCATCCTTGTTAAATTACAAGAAGATAAATGCCTGAACGAGCTAACCCTTGACCTAGAAATATGAATAAATCAGTGATTTGAATCACGGGGCATTTAATAGAAAAATTATCCCTAATTTTTGGGAATCATTGTTGTTAACTCTTGAATGTGCCTGTAGGGCTGCGGCATCTGCCTCAAGTACCACCAGATAACTGCCAGGCAAGTCCCCCCTCCATGTTAATAAACACCCTGCTGACTGCTCAGGGCATGTTACAGAAGATGTGTACACAAGAAATTGTAAGAGCCGGTCAAGAGGGATAAAGTGTTGGGGAAAGCAATCAGAGGCATGTGTACTTGACCTACAAACTGAATTCAGACAACCTGAGACTTTTTATCCCCCTCCCCTAAAAATGTGTGTTCACAGAAGTTCTTTCAAGGATACATCCCTGAAAAAAAGTATAGTGTGTTGTTTTAACTATCTGGACTACATACATAGCTGAATATAACAAAAACCTCTATAAAGCTATAAGATTTAATGGGAAATGATATGGAAATGTACTCATATTACAAGATAAAGTCTCATGAATAAATTTCCTTATAATAGGGAGGAAAAATGAATAGCTACCTCAACGGACTGACCTCTACTATGGGCAGTTCAGCTGACCAGGACGCCCAATTAGAGGCTAAAGCTTCAGATAGAAAGTTAAAAGGAGTTAAAAGATTAGAAACCTTAGAATATTCTTTTGCATAGCTGGGAAACACAAGCTGTGGATTAAGTTCCAAGCACTTACAACAAAACCTGATTAGAAGGCTAATAGGTAAAGCATGGGGAAAGGGAAATTTAGCAATTACCTGAGATTTCTGATAATGGAAAAAAATATATACCCCAAAACAACTAGGAAAAAAACAGCTAAGAAAGCTTGCACTTTTCCTCTGTCCCTGGAAATTACAAAACTAATCAGTCTCTGGGATGTAACCCCCCTGGGAGATAATCAAGGCACTGCCCACAGAAACTGGAGAAAGAAAAGAAAAATTAAGACAGTCTTTTTAAAATACAGACTGCTAGATAAATTCCCTCGACTTTTTAACTTTCATTAGGAATTAAGGATCCTAGAGAATAAAAGAAAATAAATGTATATGAAAATAGGTAAGAATAACAGAAGGCGTATTTTCTGCATAAGGAAGTATAAAAGGAGGGTTTTCTTTTGATGAAAAAGGGGAAAAGTAATTTTGTTAAATAAAATGATTGTTTCAGAATAAATAAGGGATTGGGAAAACCGAATGAATATAACACATTGGAAAAGGTCTGTGAAAGCTAATAGGGTTTCACGGAGTGAGGAAAGAAATGAAAATTATTTCAGACAAGATGGTCTTGTTGGTGTAATTTCAGATTTATTGAATTGGAATTCCACCCTGGGAAAATTTAAAACTGCCATCTTCTGGGTACTGAGTCTTGATAAGTAATTCTCCTTTTAGTCTGTTTCTTTCAGTACTGTCTGAATAATTTCCCAAATCTCACTGGAAGGTTAGGGTTTTACTAATGTTAATAATGGAAATTCACAAACATCTAGCTCACTCTACTAAAATGATTACTAAACTTAGGTTTACTTTTGAAACTAAAAAGATTTAATTTATAAATAAAGTATGTCTTGGGTCACCAATAAATATAAATGCACATGTGCTAGAAGTTACAAAAATATGTTTGTAACTCTTACAATCTGAGAGGATAGTGGTGTGACAGTTCTTACAATGGCTTGCAATTTAAAAATTCGGAAATTAAGATTTTAAGGGGTAGGGGCCTCCCCGGTGGCACAGCGGTTGAGCGCTGGGTTGCAAAGCTGCCTGCAGCCTCTGCGGCGCCGGTTCGATCCCTGGCTGCTCCCCGGCCACCAGAGGAGGGTCCCACATGGCGCGCAGACCTCTCCTGCCTCCCGCTGCTCCCCTCAGCAGTGTACTTCGGTCCTTCTGCCTGCTCTGCTCCCCGCTCTGGCTCTGGTGAATTCTCTCACCCTCCCGTGCTTCTGACTGTACCCAGTGCTTGTATAAATAAACAAACAGGGCCTCCCCGGTGGCGCAGCGGTTGAGCGCTGGGTTGCGAAGCTGCCTGTGGCCTCTGAGGCACCGGTTCGATACCCAGCTGCTCCCCGGCCACCAGAGGAGGGTCCCACATGGCACGCAGACCTCTCCTGGCGCCCGCTCCTCCCCTCAGCAGTGTACTTCGGTCCTTCTGCCTGCTCTGCTCCCCGCTCTGGCTCTGGTGAATTCTCTCACCCTCCCGCGCTTCTGACTGTACCCAGTGCATGTATAAGCAAAGCAAGCAAACAAACAAACAAATAAATAAATAAATAAATAAATAAATAAAACATGTCTCTATAAAAAAAAAAAAACAAACAAACAAAAAAAGATTTTAAGGGCTGAGTTCTAATTAGAATTAAACTAAATTAAAAGCTAATAATGAGGAAGAGGAATACATAGAAAGGAAAATGTATATGTTCAGCAAAAGAAAAGTACAAAATGGAAATATTTTTGTAGAGGAAAAGTTTTGATCTCAAGCTGAAACTAATTGTTTTTAAAATGGAAAAGGAAAAATGTATAAAAGGTCTGTGAAAGAAAAATCTTAGGAAAGGAAACTTTGTGGTCAATCTGGATAAAATCAATGAATTACTCTAAAGATTCATAAGCAGGGCCTTCCCTGGTGGCGCAGCAGTTGAACGCTGGGCTGTGAAGCTGTCAGCAGCCTCTGCGGCGCCGGTTTGATCCCAGGCTGCCGGCGAGGGTCCCACATGGCGCGCAGACCTCTCCTGCCACCGGCTGCTCCCCTCAGCAGTATATTTCGTCAGTCTGCCTGTACTGCTCTCTGCTCTGGCTCTGGTGAATTCTCTCACCCTCCTGTGCTTCTGACTGTACCCGGTGCTTGTACAAATAAATAAATAAATAAATAAATAAATAAATAAATAAATCTTTAAAAAAAGATTTATAAGCAAACCTTAATATGAATTGTATACTTATGTAAAACCAAACTTTCATTTCTTTCATCTGCTTAAGGAACAAAAGTAGTCTCAAACTGGGCTCAGCTTTTGAAAATGGTGTAAATTGTTTAAGTAGCCTTCCTTCAAAGCAAGGACTTCTATGCTGTCAAAATCAACTTCATGTTCTAAATGTCATTTTTTAGCAGATTCATAATCCTTATGCTAACTTAGTCTTCTTGATCTGGAAAGAACTAAGTTTCATTAGCAATCATGAAAGTTTTTATTTACTTTTGCAGTGTTTGTCACTTATATTATCAAGAATAATTGTTTATAATTAAGTACTATTATCAGTTATGATATAAGTATTAAGTATTACTTATGATTAAGTATTACTTATGACAGCCTATAAATATTTCAAATCTTTTGATATTTTTGATAAAACTTCCCCAAGTCAAATTCACAATAAAGTCTCTTGTAAAAATTAAATTATTTTTTATTGCGGTAACATTAATTTATACTGTATATGATTTGGGGAATAGGTTCATAGCTCTTGAGATGTATGTTACCATACCACACCCACTATGAAATCAGATATTTTGTCAAATACTTTTTTTCATTCACATTAATGTTTTTCAAATTTTTTTGGCAGTTTGCATCGTTGTTTATATTTTACAAGTCCCCCCTTCTGGTGGTGTTACCATGGCACTTCCACACCAAGGCACCCCCAGTCCTCCACCTTAGTCCATTGTATTCCCTCCCCACTTTGTGCTAGCCATTCTTGCTTCCCTTTCCCCCATGAAACCTCAGTTCTATAGTTAGCTTTCAAGAGCTAGTTT